ATACAGGTATACCTCGACTTACGTCGTTTCGAGTTACGTCGTTCCCGATTATACGTCGTTTGTCAAAAAACTATATGGAAAAATAAAAATCAAGTTTAAGTCATTTTATTTGACTTTACGTTTGTCCACCACAAATATTGAAGTTGTAATATCACTAGAAAAACATTTAAAGCACACGAAATCATATTAAAATATATACATTTACAAGTATATACTGTATTTACAGTACATACATTCGTAAATTTAGATTACTTTTTTCTGTATATTAAAAACTAAAATTTATTTGTTTGTAAGCTTAAAATACATCCTTATTAACCATATATTATTAAAAATTCATTAATAAATAAAATACAGAATCAGGAATGATAATTTATGGTTTAGCCTAGTGACAAGTAGATTTGGAGACAAGTAAATCCGACTTACGTCACCTCTCCTGGATCCAATTACTGACGTAAGGCGAGGTATACCTGTATATGTGAAATTTGTTAAAAATAAATATTTTTGGAACTTTTTACCCCCTTCTTCAGATTTGTTCAGCAGAAAGAAATAATATTCCAAAGTAAGCATCAAGTATAAACAAAAATTTTTAAATTCTAAGAATACATATTGCATAATTTCAAATAAAAAAATTACTTCAATCCGTTGACACCATCTTTCACGTCTAGTATTGGAATGGATCTACTCTGTTGTAATGTCTCCTCACCTGCCCTTTGACAGTGTTCATAGCCAAGAATCTAAATCAGCTTGCCACATGCTGCACAATGCTTTGCATATTGAGGTGTGGTAATTATGATTAAAAAAACTTTTTTGACAATCCCTACTACTTTCAATGGTTTATATATTCATCTATGTTTATTACATATTTGTCAAATTGGAAGACTTTGTGGGCAGCCCTTACAAATCTGTACCAACACAATTTCTTGATGTGGTAGAAAAACAGGGCAATCAGATTCAGTTAAAATCCAAATCTTTATATTAGATAACATTCTGTTAAAATTTAAAACTATATCACATTCAATTATATGGTATATTATAATATATTTTACATAATACCAAATAACAAATTCAATGTGGCTCCATGCAAATTGTTAAAATATTTTTAAAAATGTAAAAAATAATTCATCTTAAAGTATATATCATATCATAATTTATTTTAAAGCACTTAATATAGTCTATTAATAAGTAATTTCTTCTTTACATACTTTTAGTATCCATTATGTTTGTATTCTGTCATAATAGGCTGAAGAGAGAAGTGAAGTCTCTCCCAAAATCATTAAAATTGTAAAAAATGTTTTGTTAATAAAATAATTATTAACACTACAATTTAAAAGCCTCACTATTGGTGTATGACAAGTCTTAAAACATTTAATTAAACAAGAATTCAGCTTAGTTAGTTAGAACAGAAGAATAGTTATATAAAGACATAAAGCTTAAAACAAGTTAAAAAATAACAATCTAATTAATAAAAATCTAATTGATTTTAGTAAGAGCATTATTATTTATATATTTGAGTCTTTATATAATGCTTCTAAAAATTCATATATTTTCTGAAATATAACAAAGAAAATTAATATTAACTCTTTATTTTTANATATAGTCTATTAATAAGTAATTTCTTCTTTACATACTTTTAGTATCCATTATGTTTGTATTCTGTCATAATAGGCTGAAGAGAGAAGTGAAGTCTCTCCCAAAATCATTAAAATTGTAAAAAATGTTTTGTTAATAAAATAATTATTAACACTACAATTTAAAAGCCTCACTATTGGTGTATGACAAGTCTTAAAACATTTAATTAAACAAGAATTCAGCTTAGTTAGTTAGAACAGAAGAATAGTTATATAAAGACATAAAGCTTAAAACAAGTTAAAAAATAACAATCTAATTAATAAAAATCTAATTGATTTTAGTAAGAGCATTATTATTTATATATTAATTCTTAATTTAAAATATTTGCAATAATTTAACAAAACACTTATTAATGTTTTTGAAATACTAACCATATTTGAACATTTTAATAGGAAAATTTTTAACCAAAAGCATATTATTACAATAAAATAAAATTCTACAGTAAGTGAAAATGAGAACAATTATTGATTGATCTATTGTAGTTAACATAACAGTATTACTTAAGGACTTCTAGCCTGTTCCAGCAACAAATCAAATGTTGTTTTTGACTATCTAAGTAGCCATCAACTGATGGCTACTTAAATAGTTGAAAACATTTGATAAACAAAGAAATTGTTGCTGAAGCAGGCTAGAAGTCTTTAAATTTTACATATATTTTAGTAAAGAAGTTTATTGTTCACAGTACTATAAGGAAGTACTGTAAAAGTAAAAATTAAAAGTTTGAAGTTGAATTTAGTAAATTGCTTTTCTTTTTACTTTTGTTTTACTTTATCAATTTATTAATATGTAGAAATAAATAAAACAAGTTGAATAATAAATATTAAATAAAATGTTAACTAAATAACTTTTATAAGGTAATTAAGTTTACTATAAATAATAATAAGTACAGTAAAACCTGTCTAAGGCGACCACCACAGTTCCTTCAAAAAGTGGTCTTTTAGACAGGTGATCATCCAATACAGGTAGTACTGTAATACCATATTTTCATGTGTATTTTATGCACTTTTTAGCCATTTCTACGAAGCAAAACTCAAGGTGAGCAAAAAATAAGTGAATTTTTTCAACGATAGGGCTATATTGGTATTGTATTTTATTCTTATTGGTTACTGTAACTGGATTTAAAGATTAATACTATAGTTGCATTTCCTCGATTATAATGCACACTTTCTTTTTTCCGACTTAATTAATTCGACTCGGTTGTTTTCGTTTGCTCTTCAGTTACGTGTATTACGCCATCGATATACAAGCGCGTCGTATTTCTACATCACTTTGGTTTTGGTATTTGTTAGTTTAATCTTATTTTAACTTTAAAAATACTGTATTTTTTAATATTTAATATTTTCTTAAGTACAATAAGAAAAATTATTAATTAATAATAAAACGATTTTATTATTTTTTCTCATAATACAATTTCATTACAAGGAAGGTTGCCTGTAAAACTGATTTTTGCATTAATGCATTTATTGTTTTTTGAATATTTTGCATGCAAAAATTACTTGGATATTATTTTTTTTTAAATATCATGGAAATAAAGTAGGTTGATACAGAAACTATTTATCACACATGTACTGTATATGAGCTTCAAAATAAATAAATAAAAATAAATTTTATCAAATGTGAGATCAGCCAATTAATTGTATAATGTATAATATTTTATACCCCCAAGGAAAATACTGTAGGTCTACGGTAAAATTAATTTTGTTTTCCCACAGTTAAACTTCCGCATTAATTGCTGTTGTGATAACTTTAACACAATCTTCTAATGACAGCATTTTACATTTCTTTCATTTTTCAAACAAACTGAAATGAATTTCTTTTGTTGCTAGACTACTTCATTAACACCTTCACCTAATTTCAAGGGTGGGAGAAGTGTCCAAGATGGGTTCAAACGAGAGTTTAGACTAATTCATTATATTAGGAGGGGGGAAATGTTGTTGAACAATAGTTTAGATCAGATATATTCACGGAAGTGGTCGCTTATTACTGTTGTTGTATGTTGTTTTGGACCAAAAATTGATGCCTTCGGTCGTGTTAATACAGGTAACTTATACAAAAATTCTATGGATAAACTATTCAGTGCCAGAAATTTTTGCCTGTTTTGACAGGTGATCGTCGAATACAGGTGGTTGCCTAAGCAGTTTTCACTGTATTTGATATATTTGATTATTCAAGATCTGGTTAATATTTGAATTTAAGAAAGGTGATATTCATCCATCTCTAAAAGAATTTTCTTTACAATTAGTTGATAAATAAAAATTATATTTGCTTTTTTAATATTAGTAATGACATTTTTGTTAAATTTAAAATTCCAGTACTATTTTGATTCTTATTTTTAAAATAGTGTGCATATTTTTAATAAACTAAGAATTGTATACATATCTGATACTTATTAATTGCTAGCATGGTAATAAGCGTTATTATTATTGTCTGATTGTAATTTTAGAATTATAACTTTTTCATAAATGTATTAATTATGTTTCTGATTTTTCTAGGCACACATTAGGTTCAATAGGTGACACAGATAACTTGAAGACCAATAATATTGATATGATTGATGTAGAACGTTTAAAACAAGAGATTTTAAGTGAAATAAGGATGGAAATGAATAAAATAAAACAAGATATAATTGAAGGTAATTATTATTATTATTATTATTTTAATTAATTAAAATTACTTGAATGTGGCCAATGCAGTACTTTATCTCTTGTTTTCCAGTCTTCCATTTACAATTCATTTTTCAAAACTGTTCATAAAATTAAAATTCTAATTCTATTCCTCATTTCCATTCATTTTAACAAGAAAGTGGAATGTTTTCAACAAAAAGTGAAAGTTGATTCTTTTTGTTAAATAAACTATATTTAAAATATAGGATATATTTATATATGGCAGTGTTCAGTTACCTTATGGAAAACCTGAAATACCAGGAAAACTTTCAAACTATCCTTGTGTGAGAGAAGCATGCCCCTTTCTTCTCTCCCATGCAAGCACACCTTTCTACTTGTAGAGTCATCCTTTCAGATGCCCTCTCCAATTCCATGCTTTTATTTTTTTTTAACATCCTAACTCTATATCTAGGAACCCAAGTCAATGAAAGTAGCAGCGTTCTGCTGTTTTGTTTCAAATTCTTTTTATTTGATACTTATAAGGATCCTTCAACTTGAATTTAAATTGGTCTGAAAGTGTCTTTTTTTATACCCTGTCCTATACTTTTAATACTTTTTTCAACTTAGACTTTGTTTTTTATATTTATATCTCACTTTTTTATTTTTAACTTTAATCCTAAAGTTTCATCAGAAAATCTTCTGTTAAAATATTCAACCTCTACTCTCCTTCTCCAAATAATCATATCAACATACAGATATGTTGATATGATTATTTCATCTATATACTTCTTCATAAATGTATTCAGAGTTGAAATTTTATATTCAGTATAAAATTTCATCTTTTTCAAATTTCTCTAGTGCCACTCTATTTTTTTTTTAATCATTAACTTTAATTACATACTTGCTACAGATAAGTGACTCATTTAATAATTTCCTTTTGTCCACTCAACTACATCTTCATTCCATTCAGCTGCTAAAAATTTCTGGAGAGAACACTATCTAATGAATTAAATATTTGTTTCAAACTGTGCATATATGATAATAAATGTGTTAAATATTTTTATTACAAAGGAAACTCCATTAACTGGTGGGATCTAAATCAGTTGTATAGATAAAGAAAAAATGTTTAATTTGTTTAAATTTTTTTAAACCTTAAACTGTTTTATTGGAATTTGGATTTGCACACAGCAAATCCAAATTCCAATAATCAAAAATTCAATAATAATTACTTTTAAAAAACAGTATAGTATAGTTCATAGAAAAAAATTGTAAATTTCTTATCCTTTTTCAGTTTCAATCTTGTTTTCATTTAGAAAGAAGGTCTACTAATCAGAGATATGTGACTATCTATTGAAATCATGTCAGTAAATGAAAATATAAAATTATAATTACAAATTCTATTATCATTGCTTTATCTAAAATTCTAATTCATTCATTCCTCATCATTTTTCCTGTCTCAAAGCTGACACATATCAACTTCATATTTTCATAATTATAAAGCTAAAAAAATATCCAACTTGTTTTTTTTATAGGGAGTTAGTTAATAAATCTTAGTAAATATTTTAAAAGCTTCTTTGCTTCATCATCAGATTATTGCAGTAGCAATTTTTATCCAGAACATCCTAAGCATACACTTGAACTTATCCAAATTTGTCTGAAAGTAGGTGTAAAGGTTCTGTAATGAAAGTTTTGAGACCTATACCCATGGTTTGACCTATGGATATTGAGTACTTTTAAAAAATGCTTAATATTCATAGTAAGTTTCTGCTTTGTGTTTCTAACAAAGCTTCCTATGTTAATATAGAATGTTTTGAAACAATCACATGCATTTTTTCAGAACTGCATTTCACTTTGAATAACCGTGCATTAAAATAAAATGACAGTTTTGAAGTAATGGTTCTGAAAATAATGCATTTTGTTGAAAACAGTTGTCAATAATTAATTGATCCCTACAAAATTAGTTGGATATATTTTTTGCTTCATAATTATTAACTCAGTTATTTTCTGTTGTATATGCTTATTTGGGTTTATTTATACAACACAGTTGTTTGGTATAAGTTGTTTGAAATGCTTTTGAATTATGCTCAATTTTGTTACTATCTTAATGTTTTTGCTCTCTGGTGTGAAAAATGGGATTACATTTATACTGATAAATTAGCCATTAATAAACTCATGAATTTTTTAAGTGTATTGTTAGTCTTATTTTACACAGGCTTGTTATATGTAGATTTGTGTTTTCACAAATGGCAGATAGCTTGGTTAACCCACTTTTACTGCCAATAAATTAGATTCTTGACCCAGTAAATCATGTTCCTCTAGTTTCTGATATTCTGACAGAGAAGTATTGAATGCTGCTACTAACTTTGTGAATACTTTGCTTTGTATGGATTTTTCTAAAGTACGAGTACTGTACTTGATACAGTCTAATAAAAAAATTTCTCTATGTTCAGAAATGTATTTGTTGCAGTAAAAACATAAGTAAAACATTTTAAATGCATTTTAATGTTTTTTTGTAAATGCTATAGCATAAGTGTGTAAGCAATTGTCTATGACTATTTGGAGTGGAGCACAAATTTATATGGAGTTTAATTTTATTCAGTACCTACTGGTATGAAACCCACATAACACAAGACTAAATCTTATGTCATAAACTTATGTTTATTCACTACAGTAGAGCCTCGAAAACTCGGCAGTCCGGATAACTCGGCCACACCCTGGCAGGGCAAAAAAAATCCTTAGTTAATTAATTTTCATGATAAAGACAGCTTTATGCCTCATAAAGTATTTTTCTGAGGTCTGTCTTATCAGGTAAATTACTGTACACAGTGTATTCATTAATTTTCATTTTCATGTAGTAAAGGCTCTATGCCTTCATAAAAGATGTACTTTTCCTTTGTTTAAGGGTATTTGGGCAGTTTATTCTCTGTTGTATTCTCAAGTAAACACTACATACAAGTACAGTACAGTATTTTCTGAGGAAAAAACTCATACTTATTTTTTTTAACCCCATTCCCGATAACCTGACATTTTCACAAACTCTGCCACCCTTCGGTCCACATTAGGCCGAGTTTTCGAGGCTCTATTGTACTAAAAAGTGTGAAGGAATTAAAATAATCAGTACTAATTTTTGTTAGCAAATTATTCTACTAAATTTTTAATTCATTTATATTTACAGCTATAAGAATGGAATTGAATAGGAGGTAAAAATCTGTTTTATAGAAGAATCAGTTTGCCTTTGATTCTTGTAACTTAAGAAGATTGGTTAATTCATTTAAGAAAATAACAGGATGTTTAAATCTTTCTCTGTTTTGAAATTATATATGAAAGATTATTTACAAACAAAACTTTGAGTTTTTTTTATAAGAAAACAATTATTAGATTGCCTTCATATTGTTGCCAATATAATGGAAGTATAATCTGTATTGTATAATACAGATTTAATTAATATATAGAAATAATGCCTGTTTGTTGTATACAAACTATATTGTATTGTACAGTAAAATGATGCCATAGAATAGTGAAACAAAACCAAAGAAATTTATTATTGATTGAAAAACTTTTTTTTGCTTTTGGGTTCAAAAGAATTATAGTACAGTCTCAGTAATCTAACTTAAATCCAGAATCTAATTTTAAAATGTTTTAATTAACAGGTATGAGAAAGTATTTAACTGATCCATAATGTTATAATTGCTGATGTAAAATATTTGTCAAAAGCATGTATTTTGAGACTATAAGTATATAAGCATTATAATGGTTATATGTGGAAATATTAAAAATTTGAAGAAAATTTTTGAGAATAAATGCTACAATGCAACAAGGAATGTTAATTCCTTAATTTCTAAGATAATGGAAAAATTGAGTGTACTTTCCATTTACTATGTTTGAGTTCATCAATAATATATATGTATATATATTTTTAATCTTTTACATGAAATATAAAAGACATATTGAATTTTTTTACAGTTAACAGAATTAAAAATTGTACAATTTTACTGCCAATTTTCAATTTTTGGAATTTTACCTCCTAGTTAAAATTAGAAATTAATGTTTTATTCATAATGAATTTTTTCAATGTACACTTTTTAAAATTTTTTGGTCAGTTTCATATTGTAAAGTTTTTTAGAAATGTTAAAATATTAAATGTAGGAAATGACAAATATACCTGAAAGTTTAAGAATAAATTACTATATCATGTACTACTTATTATTGCACAATGCCATTTAAAATATCAATAAATATCTATAAATGTGCATTTAAACTTCTATCTCTCTTACTTCATATAAATATTATTTATATATTTGAGTCTTTATATAATGCTTCTAAAAATTCATATATTTTCTGAAATATAACAAAGAAAATTAATATTAACTCTTTATTTTTACAAAATATACAAATTTGTTTAAATAGAATATTTATTAATGTTTGTAATTTTATTATTCAGATGATTTTGATAAAATTTGAGACTGTAATGTCTCATTTGAAATAATTGTTTTTTGTATAAATTAGTTAAGATTACAAGACTGTACCATAAATCTGTTCATGTTGCCCAAAGATATTTTAATGTACTGTCATCTGAATCTAAATGTAGTCAATAATTGTGTAACGCTGAAACCAAACTTGAATGATTCTTATTATATATTTATAATTAAAAATTTAACTGTATATTATTTAATTGTTATATATTCCTTAGTTTTTATGGAAAAATGACAATAAGTTTCTATGTTGTGTACTGTTTATTGTACACATCCATTGTGCTCAAAAATGTTATTATACATGTGCTCAGATTCTAGATGTGAATTACCTTGCTGTTATCAAATTTTGAAAATTCCTATTGGAACAATGAGTTTTTATAGGAGAAAATTTGTTGATTATAAAATTTTTTAGAACTATCCTTTTATTATTTTATCGTAAAAATATTCTTAGAAAGAGATCAAAATGTTGAGAGTTTACTAGTTTTAATTACTGATGATAATTTAGTTAAATTAAAAAACCTATTTTAGTGCAATAAAATTTTACAAAATCTCTAAAATACATAAATTTTTTAATATTGTTATGATAGTTTGTGCTTCCAAATGTAAAATTTAATTCTTTCCAAATAGGTTAAAAATATAATATCAATAAAATAGTACTTTGATATATTTTTATTTATTTTTTAAATATGGAGGGAATTGAGAGGAACTTAAATAATTAAAAACCTTTACCAAAAAATTTTTGTTAAAATTTGAAAAGAATAAGAATCCATGTTATTATTTAAAATGTATCATTGTGATTCTTATAATTAATTAGTCATTTAGGATGGCCATATTTTTTAAAAAATTTTTGTTAAAAACTAAAAATTATTTGTATTTTATGTTTTTTTTTTTATAATATGTTAATATTAGCACAAAGAAATCTGAAAATGAATATTCAATATCAGAATGCATGAAAAACTTTTACTCATAGAATATTGAAAAATTTTTAAATATTTACAATGTATAAAACTCTAAAATCTTTAAAAAATGTATTATTGTCTAGTGTTGTTTCTAACTTTAGTTTTATTGATTCTTTAATTTATTATTTACTTGATATTAGACAATATAGTGTGAATAACATGCTATAAAAAAATCTATTACTGTGTTTTTAAGATTTGATATGGCAATAAATCTATGTCCAGTTTTCTTTAAATTTTTTTCATATATATTTTTAAATGTGTAGTTTAATCATAAAAATGTATAGTATGTTTCTGTGTCAATATAATTTGTTTAATGTATCTGTTGCTATTGTATTTGAAAATGTTTAATATACAAGAACATAACAGTGTATACTTATAGAGTAATAATATTACATATAACAATTTGTTATAAGAATTATTCTCTATGCAAATACTCTATTTTGATAACATTAATTAACTATAGTTACATTACATTTAATATAATTTTAATGAATAATACTAAAGTAATTTTAAAAAGTAACTCAAAGTAAAAGTTTTATTTTAGTTAAAAAATTTTTATATTTAAAAACACCTTGTTCAGTTTTATTAGCATTGCATTTAATAAAATAGATTAATTATTACATACTAATAATTTTTCATTGTTTACAGTATTAAGTGCTGCATGTAATAAAAAATTTAATGATTTTACTTTTTTTATATGTAGAATAAAATTGGTAAAAACTTTATACTATCTCCATACCAATTTTAATATTAAAAAGAAGGATAAATGGTAAATTTTTTATTATAGTATCAAATGATTTTTTAAAATATCTTTAAGATAAATGCACAAATACTATGCCACAAGAATATAATGCATTTGTTTCTTCTCAAAATGTTCTTCCATTAAATTATTAGTATTAAAATTTATTAATACAAAAATGGAAATTAGATAATATACTTAACATTCTCAAATTTCTTTAATACTAAAAAGCATTTATATTTCAAATATTTACCTCTCTATTCCCACCATTTAAATTATTAAACTGTAGAATATAAAAGACTTCTCATTTTTATGTAAGTTAAATCAAAGAATGGCACTTTGTATACTAAGCATATGTGATAATTATTTAATTCAAATTTGCTCTCTGAAATTAGATAAATTGGGTCATTTGAAAAATTACATATGGAAATGAATATTTGATATAATAATTCCTGTTTAAAAGAATATATTATGTCACACTGTATAATAAAATATGAGTTTAATATTTGAATTCATTAATTTTGTAACATGAATTCATGTATTCTTGTGATTCATAAGTTAAAGGACCTGTACTTTTTATATCTAGTATTCTTTTGTATTTTTATATCTAAAAATTTTTAGCATTTTAATTTATAATAAATTAAATTGCTACAAAATTTTTAGAAATAATAAATATAGGTACATTTATAATCAAACTATTTCTTATATTATATACAATTTAATTTTAATTTTATCTTCTTTATTGTAAGTTGTGATCAAATTTTTAATTGTAAGAGAGATATGTATATTGCATATCATTGACCAACTAATTCATGTACACATTCAAACTTTTTTATTGCATTTATTACCCAATACTTTTGTTTTTGTATCCTTAGTACTGTCTTTTGGAAAAAGTGTTTTATACAAAACATATTTTGCTTGGCACACTATATAATCAAGTTATATGTAGATATAGCACTATTTGTACTTAGGCAAAGTAATAGAATAGTTCTATACTGCAGTCTAAATTTGATTAGTTATTTTTATTGTCAAAGATTCTTTTGCTGGTCAAGAGAATCTCTTAGATTCTTCCATTTTGAAATCATTTTTTGTTCTTCCTACAATAATTTTAAAATTGTTGATGCACAATAAGCTCTTAAATAATAATTAATAAGTTAATTCCATACAAATTTCACTTTTTAGAAAAATATACATTACTTATATTGAACAATTGAAAATCTAATGGCAACAATCTGATTACATTGATAATTTGAGTATTATTTGATCAGTTTTAAAACATAGACAATTTTAAAATAATAAATAATATATTATGGATAGTGAAAATTTTAATTAAAAGCAAAAATGATAACTCAGGATGGGTGTGTTCATCTCATCACTCCTATGTAATATTATAATCCATTTAGAAAATGTATAGTGTATATTATGTTAATTATTTTTGGTCCTTTCATAATCTCTTCGTAAAAGATATATTTTAATTTACCTCTAGTAATATGGTAAATAAATTATATCTTTTTCTATTGTTAATTCATATATATTGATCGTATTATTTATATTCATTAATTTTTTATAGGAATTTAATCTTATTTTAATAATAAATCTAAGAATCAAAAACAATTTTAACATAATATCTGAATTTCAAGTTGAAAATATAAATGAAACAGTGTTTTAAAGAAGTTTACAAAATAATGTTATGAATTTTATTATTAACTCTTGACTATTTGAATATATTTTTATTGTTAGATTTTATTAGCAAAAATCATGTGGCTATAAAATTAATTCCAATACATTTATATTGCAATCTTGTAAAAAGAAATTTTGAAAACTCAAGAAATAGCAAGCGGAACATTATAAAAACTATTCAACAATTTCATAATTCTAGATTTTTTTCAGATAATTGACAATCTTAATAAATATCTATATGTTCATTTCAAATATGTAAAAAAGCTTTGGATCATGCTTGTTTCCTTTTCAACTTTTGAAAGTTTCTATTAGTATTAATATTAATATTAGTTGCTGCTTATTATTTTCTGGTATAAATATTCTGACTTCTCAAAAAAACAATTTTGAAGTAGAAATATAAATTTTAAACAATGATTGTATTAGTAACAGCTAGATATAATTCATGTATTGTGATTAATTTAAAGTTAATTACTGTATTATCCACTATATATTAAAGTAAAAATATTCATTTGGTATTCAAATTTGCATTCCATTTATTTTTTAATTTCATTTTTTTACTTAACAACAATATTTCACATTCTAATTCAAGAAATTCTTGTTTTTATATATCTTTCTTCAGAAATTTGTATCAAAAAATTTTAATGAATTTTTTAATAAATATATAAGATATTCTTGTGGCATTTTATTAAGTTATGAATATTATTTTATTTTATTTTTTGTATGTAATAACAGAGGAAAATTTTTTCTTCTACAATCAGAATTTCAGTTTAACTACTTAATTAATTGTTTCAGGTATGATTAAAGCATTTTAACTGTTCATTTTATTATT